ACCTTAAAGGCTCGAAGAAAATGGCCTAATTAATAAAAAAGAATAAATAAAAAAAAATATATATTAAATTACCTTTTTTTTTTATTTGCGTCAGATGTAGAATGAATTAAAAATGAAAAAACAAAATAAATTTGGACTTGCCTATATAAGACCGTATTATTTCCAGATTTAATTCCAACGCAAATATTCGAAATATCTAAAAACCATTAATTGAATAATTTATTCACTTGAACGTTTGATGATCGGTCAATCAATCACGAGGAATAAAATTTAAATTTTGATTTTACAAAAAGTCCAATTTCTTTTATTTCAAATAATTGTTTTATTAGTTGCTATAATACAAATATCGTATCGTATTATACAAATGTTCTTAATAAAATATCAAGTAAAAAAAAAATTATTAAATATGAATTGGTAAAAGAGTTTTTTTTTTCTTGCCAATTCTGATAGATAAAAATATTACACTGGATAAGGATTGGTTGGATTTTGCAAATTTTAAATAAAATTATAATCTATAAAATGCTGTAGTTTTTTTATTGTCTAAAAAGCTCTTACAATAAGTTAATAAGTGTTACAATAATTTTTCTATAAAATAAACTAAATTTCTAGTTAATAAACGTATCAACATGACTTTCCTGCGTACCCATCAAAATCATTACTTAAATCGGTATGTATTTTAATAATTATCAATAGATATAGTTTTTCTCATAGTGCATTCATACATTTTACTCATGTCCATGTGGCAAGTAAAAGCACCGCACTTTCTCGGAGCATAGTACACATGCACCCATATATCATAATCGCCGGGAAGTGGATCATTCCCTTTAAGTTGTTTGGGCTGCCAAGTATATACCCAGCAGACACCATTTGATCCAAGTCCTTGTTTATAACATGAATCTGCTTGATCAAAGTTTTTTCGGGCAGGATCATCAGTCCTGTAATAAAGTGTCTCCTTGATATCATTCGTGTTATTTAGAGGTAGCGTGATGGCTTTCACGAATGTATAATACTCATGTTCGTTATCATTGACTAACACTATTCGTCGTGACACATAATTGTTAAGAAGCGGCGTTCCATTTGGCTTTTTTTTAAATTCATTATAATCATTTGTTAAAGAAATATACACATCTGTTTTTTTAATTAATGGTTAGTCCAATTAGCAAAGGCTCAGAAACTGCCATCAGAATTGTTAGAATAATTTGTATACGGTACCATTACAGGAACCCTCGACCTCGCAGGCATGCAAAATAAAGAGGAAAAGCAAAGCTAAGAAAATGAGCGCATTTTCTTTGAATAACTTCATGATAGTGTATCGAACGAAGGAATTTATAAACTTATTCAGTTAAAAGGTCATGTAAACTTTTTAAAAATGATAAAGCCGTTTCAATTTATTGTGAAGGTATTATTACTGTTTAAACGACTTTTATAATTTACGTTTGAATTAATAAATTTCCTTACAAAAAAAAAAGCGGTTATTTATAAACAATTATTTTTTTTTTTTTTTTTTTTTGTTTAACTTAATTTGGATTATTCAAATCATTGAATAAAAATCGACATTTAGAAATCAAATTCAGATGTTAACTAATCTATTACTACTAAAATAGAATCACGGAAGAGTTATTAGCAAAGCAACTGTAAGAAATAGAAAGAGTTAAATGAAAGATATCGAAGATAATGTTCAATTTTTTAAAAATAACAGTAAATAATTTTTTTATTATGTACAAATTTTGTGATTTACTGCGGTGATTCGTGGCGAGAATCTTATTTCCCATTTCATATTTTCGCACATATTTAATCCGTACTTTGTAAAAATACCTTCAACATATATTTATTAAATCATTAAACATTGCAAAAGTGGTTCTTTAGATCAAATGAATTTAAATAATTCAAAATCAAAATCATGCATTTTTTACGTTGCTCTAATATAAAATTCTCTTCATACTCTACATTTCAATAGTTGCGCAATACAGAAAGTAAAGCGCAGTATGAGTTATTTATTAATGGCTAATTGACGAATGCAATGGCGCAGTAATAAATTTGTTTAAATCGCCGGCACTTAGGTAATTATTTTCGTTTTGTTTTATTGTTTTGTTAATTAGAAAGAAGGACGCAACTGGAAATTTATCGATAATCGTATAAAAAATCGAATGGATTTTCGCAATAAATTATTAGCTAAGCTATTAAAATCACCTTTTAAAAATTTCTCATTTATTAGTGTAACATCAGTCAAAAAATCTACATTATTATTTAAAAAGTTAATAAACACCATTATTATACCTCAAAAAATTGTTCATAAAAAAATTTTTTATTAAACTTTTTTTTTGTTTATTTAAATTATATCAGTATATATTAGATTAAGTTATACATTACCGTTAAAATTCTTATGATATTTAAAATTTTTATTAGTTAATTACATATTCTTATTATTAGATTAAATTTAAAAGTAATTCTTGGTTTGAGCCGGCTTGAATCAATAAAAAAAAAAAAAATGG